GAACTGGAGCTAAGGACATCTAGGAGGTAGGTCAATCCATCTCAATTTGGAAAAAGCAATGATGTCAAGAGAACAACAGCAAGAAAGACTTTTGGAGGCAGAAAGCCTTGAAGGACAAGCCTAAATTTGGGGTCACCGTGATTTTCAAAACATGAAAATCAGACGGGGGGTGGGAGAAGTGACCCTCAACCCAACATTAAATAGCATTAATGGACGACAAAGAAGCCAGTGCAATGCTGCCAGGCTTCTTCGGTTCCCTGAAGAAGAGTGTCTCCTTGGTGGATATTTCACAGATGGCAATATTCCTTTCAATAAACACAGGGCAGCCCAGGTTCTTGGCAGCCAACGCTGTATTTATTCATACAGGTGACTCCTATTTATAGCAAATGGTTCTGGTTTGCATTATACTGTTCCCCTTTTCAAAGAGTCAACTTAAGGGCAGTAAAAGAATCCATCTATGGAAGACTAAGTACATGTAACAATGCATGTGGTCTGTGGGTATAGAAAACAAAAGGGAATCAGTATTTAAAGGAAGGCTTGCAAAGCAAAATGTCCAGGGTAGAGCGCAGGCTTTCCCAATGGTGGAGAAGGCCAGGCACACTCTGAGGAGCAGGCAGGGTCCAGGTGAAAAGGAAATCTGGATGCAGGATGGAGGTCCTAGGAGCCCGAGGGTATCTAGGATCTGGCCTAAGTTGATTCTTCTTGTGACAGATGGTGTTCACTGCCTTTAACCACTGCCTCACGCTGCTGTTTCAGCCACGGCCCTCACCCTCTCTCCTCCCCACAAGTGCTCCATGCCTCTGTAGGGCCCCGGATATGCAGGTCAGGCACCAAGGCGAGCTCCTATTGAGGAAAGCAGATGAAGTGGGGCTGGCGGTGAGAACCTTTCCACATGGAGAACTTGACCCAGAGTGGCAGGAAGTCAGCACCGCCCAGAAGCTTATTCTCAGGCTGTCCTTCAGGGGCCATGCTATATATACAGGGACACAGCCCCCTTGCACTCTCCTGACCCCCGGCCCCAGGGCCCACCTGGAGGGAGAGGGAGCAGCTCCAAACATGTCAGCCTACGTGTCTTCATCCAAGACTTAACCTTGCACCTTCCCTTATCTGTGCTTTCTGGTTCATGACTCAGTTTTCCTTTTTCGTCCCTTTTGTCCTATGGACATGAAATCTATCACGTCTCCCATATCCCACAGACAAGAAAAGCAATCCAGAGGGGAGAAAAGTCAGGAAGAACGTGTTGTGAGTAAGCAATCCATGTGACATTTCTGAGCCTGGACGTGGCTTTGGCTGATCTGACTCAAGGTGCCAAATGAAGTGACACAGGTAGAGGCTCTGTGTCCCCACATCTGAGGCCATCAATCTAGACCCTGCTGGCAGCGCGCTTCCCTTGAAAAACATTGCAAAAAGAAAAGGTCACAGCTATTTGTTTCTCCGTGTGAATGAATTCACAAAGGTCTTGACGGCGGCTGTAACCCTTCCAGAACAAGCCTTCTAGCTCTGTCAGGCTTTCCAAGGCAACTTCCTAGATCTGAGTCCACCCATCAGTCTGGTCCCCTGAGAGTCTCCTGCTTCCTATCCCAAAGTTTACCAAGAGGCACCAGCACTATGTGACTTTGCACTGTGGAGGAGTTGAAGTATGACCTTTCCACTTACTAGTGTGACCTTGGGCTCGATATAGACTGTTCCTGAACCTTACGAGTATGTGAAGCAAGCTTACTGGATAATTGCAAACAATAAAATAGTCTTAAGAAAAAGAGTAAAATCCTCCAAGCATTAGTGTTGCAGTTCAACCGCAGAATACCATGTTAAGTGAAATAAGCCGAGCACAGAAAGAAAAACACTTTGTGATCTCAGTCCTATACGGGGGCCACAAAAATACTGTCTCCTAAGGCTCTTATGGAAACCAAGTGGAATAGCAAAATTAGAACACTTCCTTTGGTACCTGGAGAGATATTCGGAGTTTAATAAGTTTCATGCACTTACTTGTTGCTCTTGCGGAAGACAGGAGTTTGGTTTCCAGTACCCACATCAGGTGCCTCATAGCCATCGCAATTCCAGATCCAGTGGATCTCACATCCTCTGTTAGAGGGTACACACACGTGTGTGCATGTACACACACACACACACACGTGCACACACACACACATGTATAATTTAAAACTTTAAAATCTTTTTTAAAAAGAATATTTAATATGGTCCTTATGTCAATGCAAACTGGTCATAATGACTATGATGGATAAAATAATCCTGAAACCTAGTTTCATTTTGCTATAGCACTAAGTCATTGAAGTCTAAAACCTGGTTTTGGACAACATAAGTGCTTTATTATTTTCCACAACCCTGAGGGTTATCTGTGCTTTGATGGACAGTTCTTCCATGGTGCATCTTCTAGTTACCACTAGAAAACAGCTGAGATGTGGAGTCTTGTGAAGACCTTACTGGGAATCTCCTCTCAGATGACTACTCACTCATGTGATCTAGGCCTCACTTGGGATAGGTTGAGCAGCTGGAGAGAAGCTGGGCATCTTCTTTCATATAGCCTTTCATGTGATTGATTAGCTTGGGCTTCCTCAGAGCATCATAGTCTTCAAGAAGTCAGACATCTCCCGTGGCTCCTGACTTCCCTCAGCATCTAAGAGCTTATCAGCTATAGGGCATCTGGCCCTAGCTTCAGGAATCTCACAGCATCACTTACTCCACCACAGCCACATGTGGCCATCCCCGATCCCACATGGAAGGAAGATACAAGAGGGTATGGATACCAAAATGAGTTCACAGGGACAGTCTTGGAGACCAGTTGCCACACCACCCACCTGCCCTGAAAATATGTCACGGAAAAAAGAGCTCTGGACTCAGGATTGGATGCTTGGGTGCAGTGTCCTTTTGTAACTAATCATTGTTAGGCCTCAAAGGCTGTCCAAGTATCCAGACATGAGCTCAACTGAACTATAGGAGGATGCCTGGTGGCTAGATAAAATCCAGCATTCCTCGGGAACTTGTGAAACCAGTTGCCATCTACCAAAAGAAGTCATTTCCCTTACCTCTAGCAGAAGGGATGTATGGCTGCCTGTAGGGCCTATCAGCACATCAAAGCCCATGCTGGTCTACAAGCCTCAAGCACTGGCTAAAGTCCATGGTAGCTAGCACCGTAGTCCCTCTCACCTTCTCCCTTACCCTAAACTCCCTCCAGCTCATGGGCTTCCCTCTCCTCCGCTACTCATTCTTCTTATAACCCAGCTATTCCCACCATACAGACACTCGCCATCTCTCACTCAGACTCTACCTACCTACCTACCTACCTATCTGTCTATCTATCTATCTATCTATCTATCTATCTATCTACCTACCTACCTAATCTCTCTCTTTCTCTCTTCCCCCCTCTCTCTTTCCCTCTCTCTCTCTTCTCTCTCTCTCTTGCTATCTCACCATCACAACTATACTCTTCACTGTCCTCCTTCCCTAGGCCTGGCTGTATCCAATCTGCTTCCTTCTCTCTCTGCTCTGAATTTTTCCAGATGCCTCTGGCTGTTCTCTTTCTTGTTTCTACAATGAAAATCTTAACCATATAATGGAGTGGTCATGTCGACAGTTTCTTTCCTGCACACTCTTGCATGCAACCGTCATCTGCAAAGGTCCCATTTGCTTGTCTGTACCTTGGAGAGAATGGCATGCTGCACAGGTCAAGCAGAGGACTAAGGTCATTACATATGGATAGGTCAGTACCCAGCATGCTGGGGAACACATAAGCTCTCCTATTCCAAGCTGGAAGAGATGCTCACACAGCACTCTTAGCCTTCTTTGAAGGGACCACCCTAACTCCAGGCTACTGTCACTCTTCCTGTCTCTCAGCTCTCTGTGTGTTTTCCTGCAAGTTTAGTTTAGCTCCGACACCTGCTGGGTTTGTGGCTGGCACTGAATAAGTAATGGTTTGTTCAGAAACAGAGCTGTCAGCTCACACTGCCTTGCCAGGCTCCTTGAATGGATCTTTTGCTAAATCTGGAATGAGTTATTTAAAAATTAAAGAAAAAGGGCTTAAGCTACCAGAGCTGAGAACTTTTCCCAGATGCTTTTGTGTTCCAGTGACCCGTTCTTTGAAAGCCAGCAGGAACTTCACAGGTGGTCATTTGGGATTTAATAGAAATTGCCAGCTAGCTGGAGAGAATTCAGATGACAAGTTACTGGGGACAAATTTTAATGCTGTATTCAGGACACCAGAGAAAGCCACTTAGCCTCTCAGCAGCTCACTCTGTCCTATATTTCATTGTCCGCAGTGCCGGTCTGAAGGGAAGGAGATCCGAGAGCAGGAATCGAACTCTCACTGGGAAGGTATCTGTGGCTCTGTGTATGCCTGGCCCTGAGCCCTTCTCTGTTGACCTTCTTTCTCCTGGTTCAGCTTCTAAACCACGCTGAAGGGACATCACATCTCACACTCCATCGGCTCTGAGCTCGGTCCACCACACCCACTGTCCACTGGACAGCTTTCTCTGGACATCCTTCAGTTCCTTCCCCAAGCATGTCTAAAGCTTACTGCCCACACTCCGAACTCTCACCTCCTACACAGGGCTTGTCCTGCACCACCCTCCGTAGTTCCTGCTGAAGCTCACACATCCAACCAGTTCCCACTTTCATCAACGCACTAATACAATTGTCTCTAGATTAAGCATTTAGCCTGCACTCCACTCCACAACTGCTAGGCTCCCGTCACATCTTACCTGGACCATAGGGTTAACCCCCAAAAGCTTTCCTCTCATTCCTCTCTACATCAGCCATGCTCCCCTGGCCAGAGACAAAATCCAGAAAAGGGGAGCCAAGGAGAGCAGCCAATTGCTAAGCTTTCTAAAGCTCTTCACTCCCCAACTCTGGGTCCTTGGTGCCTTCCTTTACAAAACTGAGGAATTGGGTAGAATACAAGTTTCTAGAAGTTCCTAAGACTTTGAGAATTGTCTGCAAAGAAGATTTTTTAAAGAAGAATTTGAGAGCTTTATCTTACCTCAGGCCTTAGATCTGAAGGGGAAATGACCAACTCATCTGTAATGCAGACCAAGATCCTGGCTCTCCATACTCCGTTCGCGCAGCAGACGGTGGCCGTGTGGTAGAGAGAATGTGCTAGGAGTTAAAAGGTGGAAGGACTTTTAGGAACAGCTGATTTCCCATGGCAAGGACAGTAAGAGGTCAAAAGATTCTGTAGGCATCCAAGAGTTTGGCTGGTCAGCATTTGGGGCATGGTAGGTGAAGTGATGCCATCTGAGATGGCGGGCATGGGTCCATGGAGAGCACCAAGGACCATGTAAGTAGTCCCCAACTCTGAGCCAACTTGCCCACTTCTAGAAATGAGCTCACTGCTCCCAAGATGGACACTGAGCTGTCTAAAGAGAGACCGAGCAGCCTTTCAGGGTCCTGAGTCTGTTCTAGACTCACAGCAAGCTGCAGGTGTTCCCGTCTCACAGTGTCTCAGTTTGAATACAGAAGATTCAATAAAGGAGAAAACAGGCTATGGAAGTTAACTTTATATGTCAACATCTCCGTCAGGGTTTCATTGCTGTGAAGCCCCATGACCAAAGCAACTCTTATAAAGGACAAGATTTAATGGGGGCTGGCTTACAGTTTCAGAGGTTCAGTCCGTTCCTATTGTGGCAGGAAGCATGGGAGCTTCCAGGCAGATATGGTGCTGGAGAAGGAGCTGAGAGGTCGACATCTTGATTTGAAGGCAGCCAGGAGACTGTCTTTCAGGCAGTTAGAAGAAGGATCTCAAAGCCCATCGCCACAGAGACACACTTCCTCCAACAAAGCCATACCTCCTAACAGTGCCACTCCCTATTGGGCAAGCATATTCAAACCACCACAGTCATCTTGGCTGGCCTCATAGTATCCCTGGAGTTAGTTAATATTGCTCTAGTGGTTCCTATAAAGGTGCCTTCATGTGTATGTGAGATTACATTCACGTCAATGAACTTTGAGTAGAGAAGCTTGCCTTCCATAATGCGAGTAGGTTCCTCTAATCAACTAAAGATCTGAATAGAACAAAAACTATAAGAAGGAATTCGGCCAGCAGATCACTCTGAACTCATACTGCAGCTCTTCCCTGGGCCCTCCCTCAGTCTGTCAACCTCCCTCCTCAGATTTGGATGCACTTAGCATCAATGGACACATGAGCCAATGTCTTAGGTTCTCTCTGTCTCTCTGAATCTCTGTCTCTATCACTCTCTCTATCTCTTCATCTGTCTCTCTCTGTCTCTCTGTCCCTGTCTCTCTCCCTCCCTTCTATCCTCCCTTCCCCACTCTGTGTCCATTTCTGTGTCTATTTCTGTCTCTGTACCCTGTTTCCCAACTGTATGTAACCCACTGTGTAAATTACTTTAATTAAACATACCTGCCGACAGCAACTTGAGGAAGGAAGGCTGGCTTTGGCTCGAAGTCTGAGGTGCAGTCCATCACGATGAGGAAGTACCAGGTGATGGGAGCATGAAGCATCTGGTCACAATGCAGCCCCAGTTAGGAAGCAAGGAAAGATTACTGCTGGTGTTCTGCTGGCTTCCATCATCTTTAGTTTTTATTTGGTCTGGGACTCCAGTCTCCTGGATAGTGCTGCCCATGTTCATTAAACTTCTCTGAAAACCCTGCTCAAGGACAGCAAGAGGTGTGTCTCCTAGGAGATTCCTAGTCAAATTGACAGTAAAGATTAATTAACCATCACAGGTTCACGCTTTGTCACTTTGACACCAAACACATCATTTTTATCCATAACAACACACAAACTGCTGGTTCAGTCTCTCTGGAGAATCCTGACTGAATGGAGAGGGAGCTCCTCTGCTACAGAGAACCTCCTCCTCCTACAGGAGAAAGCAGGACTCATGGCAGGTGAACACCTGCGACTTGGCCAAGGTTACCAAGGGACCCAAGTCCAGTTGCTCATAAACCTTCTAGGCTGCTTCCCACAGGTACTCACTCTCATGCAGTCATGAGATTGCATGAGACTTCACACTAGAGGCATCTCCTCAGAGTCACAGAGGCCAGTAGAGTGTGGGTAATAACTAACATCAGCTACCGGACACTGATCTGCAGGCTTTCATCACCATAACCCTAGGAAGTAGGTTCTGCTAATACCCCACCCTCCACCAATGAGGAAATGGAAGCACTATGAGAATAACTCCTTGACTTGGATCTCACTCTGTGTACTCTTCCCATGTGTACATGAGTTCTGTGTTGGTCAATAGAGCCAACTGGCACCAGCTGTGCCACTTAAGTGAGGAAGTAAAACCCAAAGAGATCAAATAGTACCATAAGATTATGCAGCTAATGGCCGCAGAGTCAGAGTTATCCTCAAGCCCTCTGACCACAACCCAAGCCCTTTCCAGCCAGCGACACCAGCTCACCAGCTGTCACCCATGTTTGTTGCATGAGAGTTGCTGCGGGGACTCAGTTTTCCTGCTCTTTACAAATCTACTGACCCCTCTGGCCACACCTCATGGTAATTACTGTCATAAATCACCACATCTCAGGGTAACTACACACGTGTGGACAAAGGTTGTCAAGGATTTTCATAGGCTCACATCTCAAGGTAAGACAGGACAGTGCAGAACACTCTCTTTCCACTGGGGCTCATCCTCAGTTGATGCTGAGGCTGTGTGCAGAAGCTAACACTTATCAAGTGCCTCCCTTGCTTCGGGGTGCTGCTTGAGGTGACAACTTAATTCTCGGTGTGGTTCTATGTGATGACATCATCGCATTCATTCTATAGATGACAAAACTGAGCACAGCATGCTCAGTGTGAGGTGAGACCCTGTAAAGAGCAGATCCTCCTAGGGTGTACTTGAAATGTTTTGCACTTTCTCTTTCCCGTCCTTCCTGGAATCCTCTAAGCTTCCACTGACTTCTGCCTGCATTCCTTGTAAGGAACATACCTGAGGCTCCCAGACTAAAGTACCTGGGTTTGGTTATCTCAGTTCAGTGTTGGAAAAGAAAACAGAATAATGAATCCTGATAGAAGCAGAGGGACTTCTGGCCCTCCCAGCTGCCTGTCTTAAAATGAGAGACCAGGAGGCTATGTAACCCAGAGCTGAGGCCCTTGATGTTATCTCCTCCTACCCCGACATTGATCCCTGCTCATACCCCAATATTCTCAGGCCGCCAAGTCACAAACTCAGAGACCAGCTATCACCACTTCTCCATGCCCCACTGGTTTGACCAGGATGGTATACTAGCCAGGTTCCTAGAAGATGGTGCAGCCCTCCTATCCTAGCCCACAGTTCTTTCTTCCTTGCAAACATCTGTTCCCTCCACCCCCTTTCTCAGCCCCAGGCTTCAAGCCCCTCCCCATCTATTCCCTGCCCCTCTTCTTGGCCTTACCTGAAAAATCCAGCACTGGCCTCTTTTTCCTGAGACCCAGAACCATTATCTGTTATGATAAATATTTAATCTCAATCTGGGGCGTCTACCCTGCCTTGGCTTAAAGCCGAAAGCCATCTTTGCATTGTTCCCAGGTCATGGTCCCCACTCACTGCAGCCACCTTCACTGCCCACCGCCTCCTCCAACGCGGACTCAGGCAGCTTTCTCGCCAGAGTCCTCGAACTCGACTAATTCCTCACTTGCTGCATCGGACCACGTCAGGCGCGGCAGTGGACACCAAGGACTTGAAGGAGAAGGAAGTTGTGGAGGAGGCAGAGAATGGAATAGATGCACCTGACAACGGGAACGCTCAAAATGAGGAAAATGGGGAACAGGAGGCTGACTGAGGTAGATGAAGAAGGGGAGTAAGGAGGAAGAGGAGGATGGTGACGGTGAGGAAGAGGATGGAGATGAAGATGAGGAAGCTGAAGCTCCTATGGGCAAGCAGCAGAAGACTGATGAGGATGACTAGAGAGCAAAAGGAAAAGCTAACCTTGAGCACCGTGACCTATTCACCCTCCACTTCCCGTCTCAGAATTTAATCGTGGTCATCTTCGAGGAGAGAAGCCGGCCCCGCACACAGCGGGCAGTGCCACCCACAGATGACATGCGCTCCCCACCACCCCACCAAAACCACAACATGAATTGGCAACATGGGAGTAAAAAAAGAACCAGAACTTCCCAGGCCCTGCTTTTTTTTCTTTAAATCACTTTAAAATTTGTTTGTATTTTTTATTTACATTTTATATTTTTGTACATATTGTTAGGGATCATTTTTAATGATAACGGGTGACCAAACCAGCCTGTCCTACTTCAGACTTTACTTTTGGTGTGACCATGCTCATTATAATTCAAAAGAGAGCGAGAAAAAAAAAAACTTGTTAAAACAACAACAACAACAAACCCAATCTTATTCGGAGCATTCCAGTAACTTTTTTATGTGTGTGTACCTAACTGTACTATACGTAGTTGGTTTGTATGAGGTTTTTTAAAAAGCTGAGGATAAAAAGATTTTTTTCCTTTTTTTTTTTTTTTTTTTTGTCTATGAAGTTGCTGTTTATTTATTTACTTGGCCTGTTTGATGTATGTGTGAAACAATGTCCAACAATAAACCGGAATTTTATTTAAAAACAAAACCAAAAACTTTAATCAGCACTAGAGCTGGGCAGATATCTACTTTTTAAGCTATTAGAATCCACTTTTCTGGGCTGGAGAGATGGCTTAGTGGTTAACAGCACTGACTGTACTTCCAGAGGTCCTGAGTTCAAATCCCAGCAACCACATGGTGGCTCACAACCATCTGTAATGAGATCTGATGCCCTCTTCTGGTGTGTCTGAAGACAGCTACAGTGTATTCATATATAATAAATAAATAAGTAAATCTTTAAAAAAGAAAAAAAAGAATCCACTTTTCCATCAATAACCCAAAGTTGTAATTTTCCATGTTCCATCTGGGCTGCCCTTAACTCCAGTTGGCCAGCCCTCATGGCCATGTTTTCATGACTCACCTACTCCACAGTATCTTCCTTTTCTCTACCTTCTCCTTCTCCTCCTGGTTCTCCTCAGACCCCAAGCCCAGAGAACCCCAAACCCTGCCTATGTCTCTTCTGCTCAGCTATTGGCTATATCTTTATTTAACCAATAGTTTCAAATTTAGGAGCAAGGTCACATTGTACTTGCGGATTCTCTTGTCCCGGGGAGCAACCAGGCCTTGGGGGCCAGTATTCAGCTTTACATAGCAACAGACCAAACCTCAACAATTATCTGTCTTTTATCTCCAGGACCTAGCACAGTACACAGCACAAAACACAAACTTGGTACCCTTTGTTGAATGAGTGGATGAATAAATTAGTGGATGAATTTAAGACTGGGTAGGCAAGGGGTTAAATATGAACACTGCAGCTGCATCATGGTAGCTGTGCTGCCAACTAGACAAAGAGCTATTTGGGAGAGAGCCAGGAAACAACCACTGGACCATGATAACTATGCCTCCTGATGGTCAAACACACGTGAAACATTCATGTCCTTCCTGCTATATCAGAAACGCAGGCACCAGGGAGCTCTCCCAGTTGACACACAAGTGCACTAAGGCGTCTGCATCCTCAAAAACCCTCACTTGATTATAAAATCATTTGCATTATGGTTTTGACCCTCCCCCACAGACTTTTCAAGAGAATAATGGGAAGAAGGGCTCTAGAAGGGAGATCTGGTCCACCCTGATTTAGGAGGTGAACTGAGTCATGGTACCTTGAAAACATAAAAACTCATTTTATATTTATAAAATGCCTTTAAATTCCACAATGCAGGACCCAGTGGGTTCTGTGGGCTGCCAACCCATAGGCCTTTAGGGTCAACCTGCCCTGCCCTAATCAATCTCTCTCTTCTGTCTCCCTCCCTCTCTCTCTCCTCCTTCCCTCCCTCCCTTCCTCACCTCCCCATCTCCCCCTCTCTTTCCTTGCCTTTGCTTTGTTTCACTTTGCAAAGAAAACTTCTTAAACTGCCTGTGTTCTTGCCCTTCAAGGACGTAACCCAGCTAACAGAGTTCTTCTCCAGTAAGCAGGAAGCCCTGAGTTTGATTCCTGACATCACTTAAGCTAGGTGTGGTGATGCATACTTGTAATTCCAGCACTTGGAAGAGGTTAGAGAATCAGAAGTTCAAGGTCCTCTTTGGCTACATAAAGAGCTTGAGGCCTGCCTAGAGGTGGAGGTAGGGGAGATGAAATGAATGAATGAACGAACGAATGAGCTAACCATAGCACTGAGCAGCATTTTAGTAATGATTTTGGTGGGAATCAGACCCAGGACAAATGGCCGAAGTGCATATTTTACATTCCAGATCTGACCTGGCTTCCAGATTCTCCCAGCATCCCTCAGTCCCTACCTGTTAGAGGGCCTACCCCACCCTCTACCCTGAACTTTCTAGCTGAGGGGCTGGGCTTCCCCTCCCCCAGAAGCTCTTCACTGTATTATCCAGACATTTTGGTCTCTTTTTCTCTATCTCCCTCTCTCCTTGTGTGCAAATGCTTGTTCTCTCTCAGTCTCTCCCTCCCTCCCTCCTCTCTGTCTCCCTCCCCATGCAACCCATGATCCCTGGCCTTGTTCCTTGGGATCAGTGAACCATCTGAGAGCTGCTCCCCAATAAAACTGCCATTATACACTTTAATCTGGCTCAAATTGTCTCATTTCACTGGCAGAGAATAACTTATCAGATTTATGATTTTTTTCCTCCCTGATTCTTCAAACCCTAATGAGCTTCTCCAGTCCCTCTGAATCTAAGTCATAGATCTGCCTGTGCTTTCAGTTATCCTCTCCACAGCTAGGGTCTAGCCACTTGGCTTCTCTATCTAGCCCCTTGCCATGCCCCAGGCCTAGCCTCTCACCCTACACACACACACACACACACACACACACACACACACACCCTGTATCTTTTGGAGAGAAGCAGTCCATGTTCTCTCCCTCCCTTGCACACCTTCTCCAGGACTCCCCCTGCCTCAGCACCAACCATCCTTCTCCCTTCTGAGTCCCACCCACCCCCCAAACCCCCCACACACACACACCTTGCCTTTGCCCTTGTGGAAGCAGGTGTGGGCTATGACAGAAGGGACAAAGCCACTCGGGTGGTCAAGAGTCTCCTCATGGACTCCACACCCCAGAACAGCAGGTAGCATATACTGTATCTCATTGCTATTCTGTGACAGTAAGCATCGTCTCTGTTCTCAGCTACAGAGCCCAACTCCAGCTCATTAAAAACAGGCACGCGTTAGAAGGGAACAGTCACGCTGGCTGAGAGACCAGAGCACTAAAATCAATGTCTAATCTCTGAACCTGCATTTCCCATCGTGGCTGCCCTAGGATCCCTGGCCACCAGCTGTCCTTAAGACGTGGCCCTGCAAACCTGAGGCTTGGATCCTAGGTTCTATTTTCTGATAACAATATAAGTGAGGTGGGTTGCAGGCAGCAGAGCTCCACACAGAGCTCTTACACAGCACTAAAGTCTGATTGTCCTCTAAGGAGAAGTGTAAGAACGCACACAGTTTCTTCCCAGCACAGCCCTTCATTATCCAGGGAACTGGAGTCACCAGAGGTCAGCGTCACACAAATGCACTAAGTGCTCTTAGCAAATACAGGCCCCAAAAGATGGTCCCTGGGGTTTGGTGGAGGAAGGAAGGGACACAGACAATTTGGCTTTGCATACTTCTGAATTGTTCTAATTTTTGCCACAAACATGTTTTGTTTTTATAATTAAAAAATAACCACTCATAAATCTTATGAATGCTTTCTCTTTTAATAAACTTCAGGGTCTCAAGGAGCTGTTGGGTCCTTGGAGACCTTCCAGTCCTGCCCACTCCCTGACAGAGAAGGAAATCTGGCTCCCAGAAGGGATGACTAGCCCAAGGTCACACATCAGACATAGCCTTGGGACCCACTTCCCCGGCACGTTCATTTCTACAATTGTTGGACAGTGAATCCGATTGGAACATGGGCTGTGTTGGCAAATATAGCCTGTGATTCACTCCCCAGTGGGCAAAGCAATTAGGATTGTGAAAGCAAAAGTGAGTGAGATGGGACAGTTTTCAATGGGCTTGTTAAAGCTGAAGAATTAAATAAGAAAGTGCAGAGAAAACCATGCACGGGAAAGATGCCCCTGGAGGCAGGAACCGTACTTACTGCCTACATCACATTCCTAGTCTCTTATGTATGCATTCGGAGACAGTGACAAAGACAAAGAGAGAGGGCGGGACAGAGAGGGGGAAATGGTTGAAAGAAATGAGATGATTTGAAAGGAAAGTGAGGCCCAGGCAGTGGTGGTGCATGCCTTTAATACCAGCACTTGGGAGGCAGAGGCAGGCAGATTTCTGAGTTCAAGGCCAGCCTGGTCTACAGAGTGAGTTCCAGGACAGCCAGGGGTACACAGAGAAATCCTGTCTTGAAAAACCAAAGAAGAAGAGGAAGAGGAAGAAGAGGAAGAGGAAGAAGAGGAAGAGGAAGAAGAGGGAGAAGAGGAAGAGGGAGAAGAGGAAGAGGGAGAAGAGGAAGAGGAAGAAGAGGAAGAAGAAGAAGGAGGAGGAGGAGAAGAAAGGAAGGTGAGGAGGTGTGGAGGAAGAATGCTGAGCAAACGTACAGCATTTGTGTGATGCTGACCCTAAGTGACTCCAGTTCACTGGATACAGAAGGGCTGTGCTGGGAAGAAACTGTGCTAACACAGCTCCCTTCTCCTTAGAGGACGATCTAGTGTTAAGAGCTATGGAGCTCTGCGCCTCCAACCTCATATTCCTTCTCAAGCTCCTGGAAAGAGCCCAAGCTGTGAGAAGATGGGCGAGCAGCAGAAGGCACACCCACCAGAAGGCCCACGGGAAGGCCCACCGGAAGGCCCACGGGAAGGCTCACAGGAAGGCCCACCAGAAACCGTGCAGAGGGGACACGAGTTAAGCCATAAGCTGGAAGGTGCCCTCCCGTCTAAGATAGATAACAGGGGTTGGATGTGGTTTATGCCCCAACCACTTGTGCTCCGGTGGCTTCGCATCAGGTGTGACAATGTAGTAGCAGAACAGATGGGAACTTTAAGAGCTGGAGCTAGGAGAGGTGTAAGTCGTTAAAGTCACAGCCTTAGGGATTGAGATAGGCCCTTCTTTTGTTGTTAGTTGTTTGAAGCTCATAGATAGGGTCTTACCTTGTCAGTGCCTGGAATTGAAAATCCTGCTGTCTCCATATTCTGCATGTTGGGTCTGAGGTGTGTGCCCACTGTGCCCAGCTTACAGTTCTCCCGGGAATGGGTTGCTGTAAGAACAAGCTCAACCCGTGAATATCCACCACGAAAAGGCAACAGCAAGGAGAAGGAGGGCCCTTACAGCAACGGAGCCAAGCCCTTGAACCACTCACACTGGGAGCTAAATGAACTTTTCTTTTTCTTCTTTTCTTCTTTCTTTCTTTTTTTGTTATTGTTGTTGTTGTTGTTGGTTGGTTGGTTGGTTTTGGTTTTTTGAGACAAAATTTCTCTGTGTAGCTCTGGCTGTCTTGGAACTCACTCTATAGACCAGGCTGGCCTCAAACTCAGAGATCTACTTACTTTTGCCTCCCAAGTGCCAGGTTTAAAGGTTTGTGCCACCACTGCCTGGATGCTACTCCTGTTCTTTGAAAAAAATAATCAATATTTTCTTGGACTTGCTTCCAGTCTGGTTTTCCTTACCCACTCCCTGTCTCCGCAGTTCCAATTAGCCCTTGGTGACACTTTAAGCATGTGAACACAGTCCCAGACAGTAAAGACAAGCAGCTAATTGCTTTTGGTTCTCTCCCACGCCTTCCTGCAAAACAGAAGGAAAAAAGAGAACCAAAGTTAGCTGAGGACGCCCTCACTAAGAGAATCCACCTGCTTTGATTCTGCCCTGCACCAGGAGTTTCATGGTCCCAAGGAGATAGAATATATCACAGGCCGAAATATGCTTGAAGCACAGATCTCTCCGATCTCTCTCTGGGACTCCTGAGAAAACTGAAGATGGCCTGAATTATCTTGGGAGCCCAAATTCAAATCTGCTTCCTTACCCTAGGCTCTGAAGGTCAAGCTATTAAGACAACTGGGCCGTGCACTCTCCCACAGGAGACAGTGGCCTGCCTCCTCCAGTAAGACCCATACACTGAGGGTTCTCTGAAATAGGAAAAAAAAAAAACCAGATTATATTCTGGGCAAACAAAAAGCATGAAAGGCAAATGTCCCAGTGACCTCAGAATCTCAGGTTCTCCTCCCTCCCCCACTCCCACCCCATCCTTCTCACACACTAATTTTTCTCTTCCTTTTCAACTCCCAGCCCTGCTTGCTGTGTTCTCATGCTGGGTTCATCTACACACCACGCTGAGAACTGGCCCAGTGAGCAGCGCGTAGGGAATAGGAAGACAGATCCTCAGTCTGTCACTGTCCCGACAGCTCAACAACACAGGGAAGAGGAATCCTGTGAGTCTGAACATGATGCGGATGTCTGAAGACCAGTGTGGCAGGCTGAACTGGGGACACAGAGGACTGGAGTCAGGTGGCGTCTGGCCATGCCACAGGTGGCATGCCAACAAGTACTGCAGAGGGGTGTTGGTGGAGGCATGCTGCCCAAGGATGCTGAACTAGAGGCTGTTCATCCACACAGCATCACTGAAGCCCACAGTGAGGAGATGACAGAGAAGAGTGGAATGAGGAGCTCCTCTCAGAGAAGTCCCAGAAACCCTGATGGGGTGGTAAGGCACCCACAGCCACACCTAAGAACCCAGGCTCTGGACTCTGAGGTCAGGAAAACATCCCACCAAGCCACAGCTGGTTCCCAGCACTTCAAATTTAGTCCCTGCTACTTTTGCTGTGTGTCTACGCCATCTTCTACATGTGTGATTTCATTTAGCGCTACTGTATAGGTTATATCCTCTGGAGAAATGGAGCCAATAAGAGACGCAGATATCGAATTGATATGGCCATCAATGTAGATAAAGTTAAAGGCGTTTGGTAGAAGGAATTGGCTCCGGCAGTTATGGAGGCTGGCAAGTTCAAAATCTGAGGAGCTGATAACCCAGTTCAAGTGGGAAGATGCAGCTGCCATAGAAACAGGAAAGGCTGGTGCTTCATTCCTAAAGCCAGTAGGCAGGGAGATTTCTTTCTTCCCTGGAGAGGAAAAGTGTTTTATCTAGACAGGCCTTCAATGGGTTAGATATGCTGCTGCTGCTGCTGCTGCGCCCGCGCGCACACACACACACACACACACACACTCACTCACACTCCAGAGAACAATTTATCCAGTGCCCTCTAAGCATACATTGGAAACATTCTTTCGCACAAGTGTTGCAGTAAGTAATTAGGTCATGCCCTCTGCTCTCATGCAAGGACCAACCACAGCTGGCGCTGGGCGAGTGAGTTACTAGAGAAGGAAAAGTTATTCCCTTTTTTGTATTCTCTCTTCCTCTGCTGCTTTCTCTCCTTCTCCTCTCCCTATCCTTCCAGATCCTCTGCTACGATAAAGTGAGAAAGGCCTCACCAGATGTCAGACTCTCGATCCTGGACTCTCTGGCCTCCAGAACCAGGAGCCAGTCCATTTCTGTTCATCCTGAATTGTCCAGTGTGTGGCGTTCTTTAGCACCACAAAAATAGATGAAGAAACAAAGCCCATTAATTTAAATGTTATTATCATCCCAAAATAGCCATGCAGAAACATCCAGGGTACTTGACCAAATTGCATGGAGTCCAGTGGCCCAGTCCAGTTGAGTGAACACATTAATTGGCTGACTACACTCATGTTCAACTCTAGTATCATTTAGAGTTGGGCTCACCAAAGCAGCAGACTTAGCATTTGGGCAGTGGGAATTTGTGGCCTTAACCATTGTACTACACAGCCGTTGACCTTGGGCCAACAGTAGAAGCTCAGCATGTATTCATTGGTGAGTGAAGGAATGAACTGTCAAAGACAATTTAAACAAAGTCCTGTGAGCACAGAAGAAGACAGAGACATCTGCTTGAGGTGACTGAGGAAAACCTTCATAAAAATTTCTTTCACTATCCAACAACAGGATGGATAGGGAATATGCATGGCCAACAGAAAGTGACTCCATGATATTCACTCATGATAGTTGTGACTTTGTTTAATCACTGTGAGTTTTATGGGAATTATGACTTGATTCTATCCAATTAAACTCAGAAGCAAAGGTGAAGGGTGTCACCGTGTGTGTGTGTGTGTGTGTGTGTGTGTGTGTGTGTGTGTGTGTCTGTCCATCTGTTCATCTATCTGTCTATCTTCCTACCTGCCTGCCTGCTTGCCTGCCTGTCCTAGTGACTTAGCTCAGGGTTTGCATGCACTTTACCCTGAGATCTCATAGCCCCTCGAGACTACTTCTGTAATCACAAAACAGGCGTTAGTAATGTTTCCTTACTGGCCTTGAAGGAAAAGCCCTCGTGATAATGAATCAAACCTTTTTTTCCCTCCTATCAAGTTGCCTTGTCTTATTGTATCTTGTTTTGTCCTGTTTAGTTGTTGTCTCTTAGAGACCCACTCTTTTCTGAAGAGGAAGTGGAGGGGAAGTGGATCTGGGGGAGAGGGGATGGGGAGGGAGGGCTGGGAGAAGTGGGGGGAGAAACTATGGTGGGGTGTATTGTATGTGGGAAGAATCTATTTTCAATAAAAGAAAATGAAAAATAAAAATAAAATTCTAAAAAGGGAAAAGAAAAAAGAAACTCTCAAATCAGGTCATGTGGTGAATGTCTGTGGGTAAGTATACTCCGTGTTTCTGAGCTTCCAAATGAGATCCAAACAAGATTTTGTGACAAGGAAGACAAAAGGGGCCATGCCCTGGAGGAACAAGGGTTGCGTCCACTCCCTCTTCCCCTTACCCTTCAGCACACAGCACAGGCCACGGTGTCCCTGAGGAGACCATGAAACCCTCAGCTCAGTAGCTGGACAGCAAAGCATCATTGTGCAAGAGCTTTACCTACTCCACTGCCAAGAAGAATCTTCCAGAACATTCTGAAAGTCACTCTGGAGGAAGCAAGAGTAACTAGTTGATGGAGTCTTAAATCCACATGTCTGTAGATGTATCACAACAACAAGAATCAGTCTCATCATTTGAAAGGGCTGCTCAGTGAAGATCCACGGTCCTTCTCTCCCTTTAATAAAAGAGCTGAGTAATTCAAAAGCCCTCATCTGGGGGAGAGAAAAGCCACGGAAGCAATTGTCGACCCACAACCTCCAAGAGGAACATAAGAACATCTATACCCCAAGACCAGAAATCACAAAGGAACAAACACCCCCAAAGGCCAACCAAAGCCACATTCCAACCATTCCAGCAACTGGCCTTGGACAGAAAGCAAAGCAACCTGAGAGGACAAGCAGACAGAGAGAAGAATTTCACTCATTCCACCCACACCTCCATCTTGGCACCAGGTTGGATATGGGCTATGCCCACAGTGGTGACTTAAAAAAAAAAAAAAAGGCTCCCGCCTTGAAGGATCTCCAAGGGCAGTGGTGAGACGGCAGGAGAATGGATGTCTGTCCAGTAGGCTCACACTATACGGAGCACTGAGGAGAGAAGCTGCTGACAGAGCAGGCCTGGTGATCACTAAGTGTACAGGGTGTGGAGGGTGACCCAGGTCAGACAGCCGTGAGCCATGAGGCTCACATGTGACATCATAGAGACTGGACAGCTGAAGTGAGGTTGGAAGTTTATTGGCCTTAAGACCTGCCAGAATCTCACTCACATCGTATTATAAGTAGGTTGGCATTGGACTCCAGGCTGAAGTTTTCTGACTCTGGGAGATGGGGTCTGGAATAGAGACAAAGCTCTCTGAAAATCAGCTGCTGGCTTTCTAGCACGGCTTTGTCCTCAGATTCCCTCGGTTACTTTAGGCAATGCTCTTTCTCCCTGAGACTCAGCTTGGATTAGTGATTTTCTGCACAACGTGGAGTGTTGGTAGCCTTAGGTGTGTAGCGGCTTCTGTTGTCTTACCTACTTTTATCTCCTATAAAGCAAAGTCTAGAAGCCTCATTCTTGTGTTGACTACTATCCATACAGTGACACAGTCCTCGGCCCAGGGTGACCCCCATTTCCCAAGTGGACCTTCCATGGCATGGCCACCCAGTCACCTCTGCTCGCAGGTGCCTCTCTAGTACCAGCTCTCTTTCTCTTTGTATCAGCTCGGAACTCCTGTGTTAGTCAGAGTTACCCTGAAAACATTCGATGGTGTGTGTACTTATAAGGACCAACAAGTTAAAAAAAAAATCTTCGGCCAGGCAGTGGTGGAGCACGCCTTTAATCCCAGCACTTGGGAGGCAGAGGCAGATGGATTTCTGAGTTCAAGGCCAGCCTGGTCTACTGAGTAAGTTCCAGGACAGCCAGGGCTACACAGAGAAACCCTGT